AATGAGATGTAATTTGTGTATGAATGGAAAACTGGCAAAAGATGCAAAAAAATTTACTTCTCTTTTTTAGCTTTAAACACGTCCTCCCACCTTACACTACAATGGAAATGGTTCCCTATGGGCCTGCATGCTTTTATAGTTAAGAAAAATGCTTCAGATCTACTTTATTTATCATTCTCTTTCATTTTTGTTCATCATCTCTTCCAATGTTCATCAGGCATTGTTTACTTCATGGAAGGTAAACTGCAATGTATTATTTTTACCATTTTAGCCACTTCCAAAATGATGGAACTATAAAAGTTATTATGATTTGTTTGATGTAATAAAAAGTGGTGATACATTTTTTTTTACATATTATAATTCTTTCTCTACTATAGCCAAAAAGAAACATCAATTAAATACTTGTTTCTTGTCTGGAAACCCTTAAAACCTAATAAATAAATAAAAAAGAAAAAAAGTTAAGTGTCATAAAATAATATTTCAAACAGTTTTAAAATGCTGGTGGAATTTAAATTCTGACAAGAATATGGATTAAAAAAAAAAGAAATTTAAATTGGACGGACAGTGGTTTGAAATAATAATTACTATAGACTAGTGTATCTGTAATTTATTTATTTTTTTTCAGAAAAGGCATACATATATATATATATATATATATATATATATATATATATATATACTAAAGAAAGAAAGAAAGAAATTACATGTTGCTACACTTATTGCTTTGCAAACTGCTGTGAAAAGCTACAGATTTTTTATTTCATGTTTAAATGTTTCAAATCATAAAACAAATGCCTTTTTCATTCAGCTTTTTAATTTGCTCAGATTATTTTTTGGTCTTGATTACAATATTATTTCTCTGAGGAATTTGAGGGTGACAGAAACCAAAGCGTACAAAAGCCTTTCTGTAGCACTGCAAATTTCAGAGTAAATATGTCTCATTAAGATTTACTGTAAGGTGGAAAGAAATATCACTTTGTATTTATATCTTCAAATAGTCATGTTCAGGACGCCTGCTGGTAAAGGACATCTTTTTCTTTTTACCACCAAAAACGTAAATGCATTCAGTCTGTTAAATGCTTCCAGGAGTGTAACCAGAACCAGGTGATTTGGCAGGATGATAAAACAAATGTTGGATAATTCACACTTTTTCCCCCCACACATGGTGTGTAATATGATATGAAATGAAAATATTGTGAATATTCAAGTATAAATTGCCATATCAAGCAAAACATTTCTGCATCTAGTTTGGTTTTAAGCTCAATTTTTCCTAGCTCTGCTGAAAGCGTCCCTCATTGCTTTATCTTATCCATGCAGAACATAGGAAAGCATAGTGACACCATTAGGAATGTAATAAAGCTCTTAGTTTCTAGTGCCAGATCAATAAATGGGCGGCATGTTTGCAAAGAACAACACTGGATGAAAAACTGGCAAAAAGGAAGAAATGTTAAACAGACACAACTTTTCAATTTTTCTATTTTGACATCAATTATTAATGAAGTTACAGGTCATATGATATTGTTTAGTTTCAAACCTTAAAATGTACAATTTAGTATAGGCTGAAGTCTCAGTTCCTCCTCTCCGAACAGACACTAAGATCAGTGCTCCAGGGTGTCCCTCTTTCGCTTGTTTTTGTCAATATCTTTGCTGTCGTTTTATTAGAATAAAATAAAAATATCCTGTGTTGTCCTACAGTGGGCAAATTCAGGTGTGTTGGCGGCAAAGCAAACAGGCAAATAGAAGTATACAGGTAGACACAAGACAAAAGAAACTATGAAAAAAACAATCTAGACTGTATAGGAAAGATAAAAACACATTAAAACAATAAAAATAAAAACCACAATGGCCATTTGAAAGAAAGAAAAGAAAATGTTACGAATAATGCAATTAAGAGTAAAATACAATAATGAAACAAAACAAAACAAAATACGTATGTTAAATATATATGTAAATAAGTTATAATGTTATAAGTAATAAGTAATAAGTAATAATGTTAATAATGTTATAATGTTAATATCGATCCAAACTATGTTATGAAATGCATGTTGGGTTGTATACAGACCTAGAAAAAAATTTTGTTTAGATCTTTTGATTGAAGTCTTGGCCACTGGATAAACACCTGACACAGGATTTTCATATGTGGATAAAGCATGGCAAAATGCCTTTAAGATATAATAATAAAAAAAATGTATTGTGATATTGCTGGATGGTGCGCATAAAGCGCTGGGATCACCCACTTTGCGATCCCATGCTTGGCGTTTTAGTCCTGGTTTATCAAACCTTCCACTGCAGCCTTTTATAGTTGCCTCTGTTGGCAGATGATTGACTTTCTTTCAGCTGCTCCATTTTGATGAGGCGGTTGATTCAAAGTCAGATTAGCCTTATAGTAGCAAGGCCATTACAAAGGGGGAGTTATTTCTTTCATTGTTGATATGAAAAATAGATTGCTTCAAAGAGCTTTTATCTTTGAATCAAAATCTCTTACAACAGTGCCGCAGGCAGTTGACTGGACTTCCCACAGTTTCCATTTTGTATAAGCTGCATCATGGCTAACGTCTTAGCAAGCACAAATCAAATGGAATGGAATATACTGAATTGTTTTTTTTGTAAACAAAGTCTTAATAGAAATTTTTGCATGCATAAGGCTTTTATCAAAATATTGCAAGGATTTGCTCCACATTATGTAAATCCTCATGTGTTATGATTGACAAGCAGCTTTCACTTTGCCTCATACTATTAATGTTTCATTTATAATGGGCTATATCACATGATATGAAATATTGTGGCATTAGTGCTACAGAAATCTGATTAAATCTATAGTCCTAGCTGACAAAGTTAATCCTGCTTGCTAATAGAGTCATTAGTTTTACATTCAGCTTAGATGTATTGTTAAATTCAACCCAATTCAGGCCTTTAAAAATCCACTGTATTGCAAATTCTCTTTGCAACATTTTCACTGTTTATCTTTGCAGCTATACTGTGCAGTTGAAAGTATTCACACCCCTTTACTTTTACATGATTATAAAGCAGACTTATCCTTAAACCTATTAAGATTAGTGTTTTATTAAACTTAAACTTTACAGACAAATATGCCACATTAAGAAAATAAAGTGTAAATTCTGACTTCCTTTTAAGACATTAATTGGAAATAAATTTTTAAACCAAACATACATAAGGATTCAAACTCGTTTTTCTATGACACTAAAAATTGAAGTGAGGTGCTTCTGATTTTCAGTGATCATCCTAGAGATGCCCCTGTAGGTTATCTGGACTCCACCAGTGCTGCCTTTAGCTGTTTAACAGGATTTTGAGTGTAACACTGTAATAAAGTTTCTGGACCTCAGAGATTGAACTGTGCTAAAGCACAAAATGGTAGAGGAATAGCTTTACTGAATATCCAGAAACAAGCTGTTTGCTTAAGTGTTTAGAAATGGAAAACCCATTAGAACCACCAGGACTCCCTTCAGATCTGGCTGCTCAACCAAACCCACTAATTAGGGACAGAGGACCTTTGTCGGTGAGGTGACCAAGAGCCTAATTATCACCAAGTTGGAGCTTTAATGTTTCCTAGTATTCTACAATATTTGGTCTGAAGCTCCCAAGTGTCATTTGTTGTAAAAAATGGAAGTGGTACATAAGCAAACTTCATCCCTAATGTGAAGCATGGTGGTAGCAGCATCATGCTGTGGTTACGTTTTTAGGATACAGACTTAAAGGAGCTGGGTAAATTGTCTACAGTATGAAAGAAGACCAGCATAAAGGATTTGTTGAAGAAGCCCACCGCTGATGGCCAATCTGACCAAGTTTACCAAAAAGAATAAAACATCCAAAACTGCACTAGTACCTGATGTGTTTCCAGACTGAGATATTTCTGAGTTAGGGTAGCAAAATAGTTGGCCATGTTGGCCAAAACAAAATAAAAAGTGCTTTTAAATTTACTTTCTGTACAATGTCTTTGAGAGAAAGTAAAAGAATCTAAACTGTATTTCAGAATGACTGTAATGTAAAAAGTAATCAGTGGTACAGTGTTAATAGTGTTTCTGGCGGCATTGTTTCATTAATTGTTAATCTAACATCCTCAGTGATTAGGTCTTAGAATTAATAAATAAAAACTTTTCCAGATTTACCTTTATACAATCTCACCCCTTCTGTGTGCGCCATTTACTGGTTGAAGTGGCAAAATCTGCTTGGTTCAAAAATAATCCTAGATCACATTGTCTTTTTGAAAGAGTCGAGCACAGGCTGTTTAGCTGCAAGGTGTTTATACACAGCCGTACATAAAGCACCCTTCATTCCTCCTTTATTTTAACTGACGGGGAGTTCTTATATTTCTTTTATGAGCTCATAGCAAAGTTGTCCTATATCTGAAGGGAATGAGATCATGAATATTGTGTTAACCCAGAAAAGTTAAAATCCACGCATGCCTTCTTGTTCCCCTGATCCCTCGGCTTTTGTTGTTGCGTTGGCCAATTGTAGCCTGGAAGAGATCAAGGGGACCCCTGTCGGTTGTGGATTATTCCTTTGTAGAAGTGCCACTGTAGGGGATAGAGGATTAAAAGAGCAGAGAGTGAATAGGGATTGTACAGAACATTATTCTGCTGCATATACTGCTTGTGAACCATTAAAACATAGTTAAAAATGTTATTATTACTATTTATTCTAGTTCAAAACAACCTGCAGATTAACTGAAAAGGGTTCTAATATTCTAATTTAGTTTTCATGGCTGTCATAATGATATTTAAATTTTAAATGGATCATTGAGATTGGGATTACCTGCACTCACATGGTGCCTTTTCTTTGTATTCACAGCTAAATGAATATCTTTGTCTGCTTCTTCGCCATTCCTGGTGCTTCTGATTACCTACAGACTGCTGCAATAGCAATAGCGCTTTTAATTCTGAGTATAGTTGTCTATTCGCTTAGGTTGAGGTTATCACTTTCCTTTTGGCAATATTCTGGGTTTTCTATATAATTTTTCTTTGTTTTTTTTCATATTGCAGGAAGCCATGGGCCTCGAGCCTGGGCAACCTCTTACCCAGAGTGTGCTGCAAAGAACCAATCACCTGTGGATATTGCTGATGAGCAAGCTTTGGTGCTGGACGAGTACCAGGAGCTAGAGCTCGACAAGTTTAACATTGAGTCGTCCAACCAGACAACCATGAAAAACACTGGAAAGACAGGTGGGTATCTGTCTTCATCGAAAAAGGATTACTCCTTCTTTTTGTATTTTTTTTTTTTACAAATCACTTCCTCATTCAAATTTGGTAGACATTTTATCATATTCCCTGGTTTCAGAATTTAACTAATTTTCATTTAACTGACAGATTTTAGTTTTTCTTTAATTGGTAAGGAAGTAAGGTAGATCTCAAGATGATAAAATGGTATAAAAGTATAATCAAGTTTAAATAAATCTTGGGCTGTCAGTTTAACGTGTCAATTAGACTAATTCATTAATTACACTGCAAATCCGCTATGAAAACAATTACGATCAATCAAAGTGCCAATTCAACACAAAAGCATTTTAAATTTAGGCCACAGAATAACCCAGGCAGTGACGGACAGTAATGCATCTAAAGCATTACTGCTTTAAGAAGAAGCAATAAATGTCAAATTTTACTTTAAAAAGAACGAATATAGGACTGCTAACTACAGCAAGATGATTTTTAATTATTGTAAAAAAAAAAAAAAGGGTTTTTTTTGCTGCTCCAGGATGACTGAGCATATAAATGTAAAACATGTTGAGAGAAGTTATGTGGCTGCAGCTGCTATTTCCAAAGTGAGAACACTTCACCAACCCACGCCTGCTGAATGAGGTAAATGAATTAGCAAAATCACCACAGGAAGACTGATTAGCCGTATTCTACAATTTTTAAATGTCCTAGAATTTAAATTCTTTATTTATGTACATTTAGAACAGTGATGACAAACCTTGAACTTCATCCTGCAAGGTTATCTAATTCCTCTGCCCCAAAGCACCTGATCCTAATCAGTAATGCTATGCTCAGACCCTAAGTGCTGGAAGCAGTGAAAAAGCTTCTGCTGCTTCTTTTTTAATGCTTGTCCACATTAAGGTCAGACGTCCAATAAAGTGTGTCCAGATGCGTCTGAGGCTTCTGCTGCTCCTGTGTTAAATGGCAGAGAGTGTCTTCGCTATATTTGCTGTGATAAGTGGGTAAAAAGTAGTTTTAATATGTTTTTCAGTGAGAAAGTCCACCTGAAAACTTAATCTCTGATTGGTTGATGTGGCACGCTGAGCAGCAAAACTTCAATTTTTTCAACTCCTGCATCTGCTGCTTTTACAGAGCATCACGTGCATCAGATGCTCAGAAGCTCACGAGGCGCTGCTTCAGCTGCTCAGACGCGCTACTCCTGCTGCTCAAAATGATCTGCAGGACCTTTTGCTGTGCCTTGATGCACGTCAACCATCGACTTTGCATGTAAACTAGCTGCTTCTGCTGCCTCTAGCGCGTGCCGTCTGAACGTAGCATTAGTCTCCATACAGAAGTTCATAGGCTGTGTGGGAGAAGGGTTGCATCATGGGAAACAAAGGACTGCAGCGCTTGAACACCAATGTTCCTGATGATGGCTTTAGCAGATATACGATAAAAATGCCATTAATTAGATTTATTAATTACAAATCCTGTAAATATTAAGATGAATTTCTGACAGCCCTAAAAAAAACATGACATATCTGTAATGTATGTATTTAGGCTCTGTATGAAATATGTTTGGTGAAACTTGACGTATGGTGCAGAGTAAGAAGATTTAGACAGTAAAAGACCGAGTATCATTGGGGTTGTAAAGGTAATAAAAGGTATTAAATGAAATCTACAAAAATTAAGCCCATTAAAAAGTAATAAGCAAGATCCAACAAGGGGTTGTTTTTTTAATAACTGCCCAACTCTACATGGTTGAACGTCTTCTGGGTGGGAATCATATGTAATTAGGGTTGTGCTTCTCTCTAGGACAGACTATTAATATTGAACTGTTTAACATGTAACACGGAGATGAAATGTCTCCATAGACGATGGTTGGCAGCAATGCTGCTTTCAGCAGAGAGTCGCAATGACTCCCAGTGTCTTGGCTGCTCTCTCCCCTCACTAACAGGTGTGTGGTGGGAGAAGAAACGGTACCAGACGCCAAACTAAACTTTGATTCTTCTGTTTTTGTAAAGTTAGAAAGCAAACTTGTCTGACGATGCATCGCAGTTTGGGAGATGAAGGTATTCGTCATGAGGAATTATCTTAACTTTGAAGGCAGAAAGGTGCGCACAGACTAGGCTTGCTTCACAGTAATGTAGGGACCCGGTGGGAGATCACCAGGTGAAGTTCTAGTTTACATAACACTGTGAAACTTGGAGGTGCAGAGGCCCTCTGACCATCAGGACAATGACTCTGTATGGGTCACACTTGATTTGAGTAAAAAAAAAAAATAATCAATGATGTGCTTCCGTGTCATGGAGCATTCGGCTTACTGAAGCTCCCACAGACTAGGCAGAACCCTTGCCCCCTCTTTGTCTTTTTTTTTTTCTCTCTGTCTGTCACAGACGCACAGACCCCCGAACCCCCACCCCTACCCCCACCCCTCCAAACACACACACACCATATTGGATACAGCATGTAAAACTGAGCAAAACATGAATAGAACAGCCAAAGTAGAGAGGGGGTGAAAATAAATACATAATAAAACTCTCCAAAGTGACATACAATTATGCTATAGACAGGGGCGGATCTAGAAAAATATTTATGGGGTGGCAAGAGGGGGGCAGGAATTTTTGTAGGGGTGGCAACATATGGCATTTGTTTACGCTGAATTTAATCACAGTTATCACAGTTTGGTGAGAATAGATTGTACAGTACTAGTGTTTCATGTGAAACAGTTCATATTAATAATACATCGTACAATGTGATCTCACTTAATAGGAGATAGAAGAATGATAACACTACTTCTAGAGGGGCCTTATGACAGGAAAGGTATTAAGGTAAGACACAGGTGCTGAGTCGCAGATGTGTGAGATTGACTGTCAGAGATGCAGCTTTGGAGCATTTGCACAAGAAGAAACTATAGAAAGAAAAAGTTTCCCATCAGAGATCTATGGACTGAGCTGGACTAAAGTGAGCATCACTACACAGTAGAAATAAATGGGTCAAGGCACCCGAACAAGGTACCGGACATCTATGTAATGTTTACTCTGAACACACATTTACCCCATTTGTTCCTCAGTAACTTGACATACAGCAGTTACGGCAACATGAAAGGGACATTTCATGCATGTAAATATACTGTAAATAGAGCTGCATATGGAGGAGCAACTCTGCCATATTTAAAATTAAATACAGAAATAAATAAATGCTCAATAAATAAATAAGCATACAATTAATTGCCACCAAAAATACAATCAACAAATAAATGTAATTAGAAATTACAGGTGCTGGTCATAAAATTAGAATATCATGAAAAAGTAGATTGATTTCAGTAATTCCATTTAAAAAGTGAAACTTGTATATTATATTCATACATTACATACAAACTCATATATTTCAGATGTTTATTTTGTTTAATTTTGATGATTACAAATGACAACAAATGAAAATCTCAAATTCATCATATCAGAAAATTAGAATATTACTGAAGACCAATAAAAACAAAGGATTTATAGAAATGTTGGCCAACTGAAAAGTATGAACATGAAAAGTATGAGCATGTACAGCACTCAGTATTTAGTTGGGCCTCCTTTGGCCTGTATTACTGCAGCAATGCGGCGTGGCATGGAGTCGATCAGTCTGTGGCACTGCTCAGGTGTTATGATAGCCCAGGTTGCTCTAATAGTGGCTTTTAGCTCTTCTGAATTGTTGGGTCTGGTGTATTGCATCTTCTTCTTCACAATACCCCATAGATTTTCTATGGGGTTAAGGTCAGGAGAGTTTGCTGGCCAATTAAGAACAGGGATACCATGGTCCTTCAACCAGGTACTGGTAGCTTTGGCACTGTGTGCAGGTGCCAAGTCCTGTTGGAAAATGAAATCTGCATCTCCAAAAAGTTGGTCAGCTGCAGGAAGCATGAAGTGCTCTAAAACTTCCTGGTATGTGGCTGCGTTGACCCTGGACCTCAGAAAACACAATGGACCAACACCAGCAGATGACATGGCACCCCAAACCATCACTGACTGTGGAAACTTTACACTGGACTTCAAGCAACGTGGATGAAGTGCCTCTCTTCTTTTCCTCCAGACTCTGGGACCTTGATTTCCAAAGGAAATGCAAAATTTACTTTCATCAGAGAACATGACTTTGGACCACTCACCAGCAGTCCAGTCCTGTTTCTCTTTAGCCCAGGCAAGACGCTTCTGACGCTGTCTGTGGTTCAAGAGTGGCTTGACACAAGGAATGCGACAGCAGAAACCCATGTCTTTCATACGTCTGTGTGTGGTGGTTCTTGAAGCACTCACTCCAGCTGCAGTCCACTCTTTGTGAATCTCCCCCACATTTTTGAATGGGTTTTGTTTCACAATCCTCTCCAGGGTGCGGTTATCTCTCTTGCTTGTACACTTTTTTCGACCACATCTTTTCCTTCCCTTCGCCTCTCTATTAATGTGCTTGGACACTGAGCTCTGTGAACAGCCAGCCTCTTTAGCGATGACCTTTTGTGTCTTGCCCTCCTTGTGCAAGGTGTCGATGGTCGTCTTTTGGACAACTGTCAAGTCAGCAGTCTTCCCCATGATTGTGTAGCCTATAGAACTAGACTGAAAGACCATTTAAAGGCTTTTGCAGGTGGTTTGAGTTAATTAGCTGATTAGAGTGTGGCACCAGGGGCCATCAATTTTGAACCTTTTCACAATATTCTAATTTTCTGATATGATGAATTTGAGATTTTCATTTGTTGTCATTTGTAATCATCAAAATTAAACAAAATAAACATCTGAAATATATGAGTTTGTATGTAATGTATGAATATAATATACAAGTTTCACTTTTTAAATGGAATTACTGAAATCAATCTACTTTTTCATGATATTCTAATTTTATGACCAGCACCTGTATATTATAATGGCAGGCAGAAATGTTAAAAGGGCAGGCAGAAAGAAATAGCGCCGAAGAAATAACTAGGGTAAAAAAATACAAAGGAAGAATAAAACAGACAAAAATATGATAACATGCACATAAATAAATACTTAAAAATA